AATATATATTAATTCTGAGCATAGTATATTCATAGTAGAGGATAGCCATTTAAATTACCTTTAAAAATGAGGTACATAAGCTGGATAACTAAATATTTTCTTGTGTTGTGAGCTTATTCTTCCAGCTGCTAACAATCTCATTCCATTTAAATTATTTTTCACAAATTATTATCAGAGTGCTCAGCCCATAATAGGTGCCTAATGAATAAATGATATTTAACCAGAAATTAGAAAGAATAAAAAAACAACAACTTCTTTGTCGAACAGGATCAGGATCAGTTTCTCTACTGTCCTCACAGTACATGCAACAGTACATGCTATAGGTGATGATTAGTATTTATTAGTGAACCAAGACTTTAATACTTTGAGTATCAGAAGAGAGATGAGTGTTGGATGGGGAAAACACAACAACAAACAAGAGTTTCCTAGGATCGGTGATTCTCATATGATTAGCCCACTTATCACTTGGAGAAAGAAACGTGAAAACTGTTACATGTTGTAAAGGTTTCCATTTGACATCAAAAATAAAACTCTGTCTACCAAGCAAATTTTGTGAGTTGAGACTTTGGGCTATGTACTAACCTACATTCTGATTAGTGTCTATAATTCTTTATTGCCTTACCTTTGCTTAGTCAACATATATCAAATACCTACTGTGTGCTGACCATGACCCTTACTACAGAGAATTTATGGTCCAATGGGAAAAAGAGACTTGCAACCACTCATTTTGACACTCTATCCTGAATACTACAAAAGAGTATATATAAGAAATATAATATCAGTCCACTATATAATGATTAGGGACAAAAACAAGAAAGAAAGAAAAATAGCCTGCATGTTGGGCAGGGTCCATTTATTTCTTATTTTCAAGGTATAAGCAACATTCTATGTATATAAAACACATTATTATAAAATAGTATTGGGAAATACTTTTGACAATTGTTTTCAAACATAGCTGAACTTGAGTACTGTTAGCATAGCAGAGCCTATCTGTATTCATAATGTCAAATACACCCTGACCCTTTGCTGGAAATACTCTGAAACAGTTCCATTTAGGAAGGCTTTAGAGTCCTGCATTATTTATAGGAATGTGCTTAGTGAATTCATGTTGATTCTGTGCATCTGTCAAGATAACATATAAATAAATACACAGATTTTCAACGTGGCAGGAAGTGTGGCTTAATTGGAAAGGGTGTAGATTTGCAGTCAGACGGATTGTGTTAAAACTTGGATTTTCTAGTTAGGCATGTTACTTAACCTCCTGGCAGGCTGTTTTTTCTTTTTTTCTCTAAAACAAATATATATTTTTATATATTATATTACATCATAATATTATATATATATAATGTATCTTTCATGTTGCCCAGCATACAAGGCACTCCAGACATTAAATCCTTTTCCCATTTGCTTTCCCACTCCCTCACCCTTTAATGAAAATCACTGAATTTCTTGGGATAGGAGAAATACAGTAGTCACAACCTCTGTAATAGGTAATCTTTTTCTGAGACCCAGCTGTCAGCTGAAATCATGATGTCTTTTGTGTGTAAATAAAATGAGCTCCAACTCTCTAGTTCATGTTTTTTGGGGATCCCAGAGGCAGTGCCCAGATTGCTGGGCAGGCTTCACCTCCGCCCTCAGGAAATATCTAGAGGGTCTAGGACTTTAAACACCTCTGTCAGCTCTGTCTTGAGGCTCCTGCACACAATGAATTCTTGACTCCCTTGGCATCATATGCTGTAACACTTACTCCCTTCTGCCAGGATGAGCCAGAGGAATAGCTCAGCCCTCCCCCTTGGTTTCCCCAGACACCACACACAGGTCTGTCATGTGAGTGCTTATCTGGGTACTCCAGCAGAGAGAGTTCACATCAGAGCTGTGCAGACCCTCGTCAACTTGAATTGTAGGCATCACAATTTCTTACTAGCTACTTTTCCTGACATATTACACCTCACAACTCTCTGCCTGACCCCCTCTCTTCCTGAAGTCTCCTTCCAGCTCTGCCTCTGGGGTCTCCTCTCCTGGGCTTCCCCATCCACCCCTATGTTCTCCCCTTTATTGCACAGGCCCACGAACTCATCCTCAGCTTCTAACCACGTTCTACTTCTCCCCAGATGCAGCAGGCTTGAGATAAGAGTGTCATCTCTCCCAGGATCCTATTTGCCCTTCTTCAAAGTGACTTCCATCAGCCACCTGCTTTGGAGTCACAGCTTTTACTGTTCCCAAGAACTGGCAGAGCTTTATTAGTTTCTTTTGTTGTTTTTTGAGAGGGTGGTGGCATTTGTGGGTTTTTTTTTAATCCTTCTCTCATCCCACCAACTCTGTGGAAGGGAACATGAAAAATATTTATTTTCTTTCTTATATAAATTGCATCACTCTCTTGAGGGGTCAGGAATAGCTTAATCATTTTTGGTTTTAATAACTTTCTTCCTCTGAGATTCAATTCCTTAAACCCAATTTTCCTCATATTAACTGCTCTTTTTCGGGGGGAGGGAAATCACTGAATGCTGATTAGGCTTTGTTTTCTCATTGGCAAAATGGAAAGATGGGGGTAGGTATCTCCGAGGCTCCTTATTTGTTTGAAAGTATGTAATTCTTTGACTATAATTATTTAGATTTATTTTTAGTTTAGCAGTTATGTTTCCAGTTAATAAAATAGGTCTACATCATCTATATTTTTAATTTGAAGTGAAATGGTGAATCAAAACTCTAATAACATTTTTATTCTCTTTTCCCTAATTAGTTGATTCTCTACGGAAGGGTTTCTTTTAGAATCACACATTCTTAGTTTGCAACCTAAATGTACCACTCATAGATGTTTATTTGAGATACATTCTCTAATCTCTCTGACCTTCACTTTTTAAGAATGTAAAAGAGAATGGTAATGACAACTATCTCATCAAGTTACTGTGCGGAATCAGTGAGATGATTTATGTGAAAATAATTTGTAAATTATAAGTCGTCATCAAATGTTAATTCATTTGAAAGGACAAAACAACTAGAAACTGAGAAAGAAGAGGAGAGATATGTTCTGAAGCATGATTGGTATCTCTTAGTAATAGAAGAAAACGATTCAAATTGCCACAAACTGATGATTGGTAATGCACCTTCCTCCTGTCTCAATCATTGGCAATGCATTTCCTCATGGGCTGGTGTTGGTTTGTTTAATTGACATGTACTTCCCTGCACACAACTGCCCACTTAAGAAAATACATTGGTATCGAGAAATCTGGAGAAAGATCACAGATACATTGATTTCTTTTCACTCTGTAAAGCCAGCCCTATCAAGAAGTAAAGATCCAGTCACGATAGAGTTGCCACATTGTTTCCTATGTCATGCATTTCTTTATTTGGTCCTTCAACCACTAAATTTCACAAAATTTTAAACCGAAAAACACCAAGTGTCAAAGACAGCTGCTGGAGAAAGAAGTAGAGTTAGAAAGTCTTGCCTCAGTGCAAGACGACATTGCCCAGCCCCTGAGTGGTTCCTGTTGCTGACGTCCTGTCCCACTGCTCAAAGTGATGACAGTAACTTTCCCTTTCTCTCCGTAAGTCCTTAAGTGGCTTTGACCCTTGCTTGAGTACCATTCACTATTGCACACTTCCAACAGCCTTGCCTATTGAAGCTCCCACCGGTTGTCTCAAGTTGTCACTATTCTTGTGCCTTTTGCCTTCACTCTAGTCTGTTCTGAAACTATTTGCTCTTTTTCTTGACTAATAGCCTCCAGGACTCTGAACTCACACTTCACACATAATCAGACACTTGGTTACTCCTGCTTTCTTTTTCTGATACATACATCTTAACTTTCTCTTCAGTGATTTCTCTTTCAGTTTTACTCTATCCAATTAAAACAAACAATAAACAAAATTATATTATACTGTTTCCCTTGGCGTTTCTTCATCACCCAGGATAAGCTTTTTCTTTCTTCAACTTGTCTCTTCCCCTCTTCAAAATCTCCATTCTGGAATCTTCCGTGAGACAATTTTCATCTTCTAAAAAGCCAACTATGATGCACCATTAAAGGTGCCAAAGATTTGTTGGGAGATGGTTGTGATGAACAAAAGGGGAGAGGAAGCAGAAGTAAGTAGGAGCCTGTCACCTCTAAAGGGTGAAAAGGAAGGAAGGCAGATGGTATAGAAAAACCCTGTTTGGCATGACATTTGAGAAAACCTCAACCATACCAAAGGAGCACCCGGAATAAAGAAGGAGCATTAAGGGAGTGCCAGGTCTGGGTAGACCGGCCCAGCTCTACACCCCACAGTGCGGCATGGTTCTCTCCACGAGAGCCTGAACGCCACAGCATGTTGGCCTCACAGGAACCAGTCACTCCAGTGAAGTCACTTCCTCAACGCTTATAATTGGCTATTACCCTTTCTCTGTATTTGCAACTTTTGTTGAGCTACTCTTATGGATTGGCAAAACTTATGATTCTCCAGAAGTATGCCCCACCACCAACTCTCAATACATAGTCTACAAAATATTTCAGCCAGCTATATCCACATCACTTGGCCTCTATGGTTACAGTCAATTTGCAGGTTTATTCCCTCACCAGCAGGGTACAGAGCTGCCTGAATAGCTGCAGGAATTGCCATCCAGTATTAGTTAGTAAACATGCAAAAGGCATGTTACAATTCTGAGACCTTAAAACCTATACTTAGTGCTAATTCTTTGCATGCTTAGTATGTGTGTCAGACACTGCTCTGTTCTTAAAAAAATCTGTATCATTATTCTTTGAGGTAGATTCTGTTAGTATTGGCATTTAATAGAAAGTGATATTGAGGCGAAGAGAGGTTAAATAAATCCTTCAAGACCACAGGGCTAGGAAGTGGTTCAACCAGGATACAAGCCCATTGATCCTCATAGCTCATCCAACTCATCTATTTCGCTATGCCATTAATATTCAAAACACTTCTCTATAAAACGGTTAACCGTAAAATGTTGACCTAATGTCTACTTTAGAGCATATGCATTCTGCAGCAATATTTTCTTTTCTGTCTTTCAGGTCCCTGCATTCCTAATCCATGCCATAATGGAGGAACCTGTGAAATAAGTGAAGCGTATCGCGGGGACACTTTCATAGGCTATGTTTGTAAATGTCCCCGAGGATTTAATGGGATTCATTGTCAGCACAGTAAGTTATCCATGGTCATTGTGCTTTTATTGTTATTGATTGCAAAGTATACAAGTCATTATCATTTTTGTTTGGAGTGGAATAATAGAATCTCTGAGCAGCGAAGAGCCCTGGCAGTTGGCTAACGCTGCTTCTTTCACACTGAATACACCACCGCCCCAGGCAAGGCCTCCTAGACTGTGTTCTGTCCTCTCTGTGGCATGGGGACTATCAGTCTTTTGTTGCCCTTTTCATTATTGTTCAGCCACACTTGCAAAATGTAGCTCTTTATATTAAACAGATACCTGTCTCTTTCTTTTATACTTGTCATGAAGCTACATTCTTCAAGATTTCCAGATATAATTTTGTAGACTAGCTTGAGAGATGATAGCCAGAAAATAAAACACCCTCCCTCCCCCTGCTCTATCTATAAGCCAGTGTCCTCCTTCTTAACATGTTGGCATTTTTGCATGGACATCTTTGAAAGTTCAACAAGTGTGGTATTTGCACTTTTCTCCTTTATCCCCATTCTTATTTATCCTGGGAAGTTAAACAAAATATATCCACTTGTGATGATTTCTTCTCAGAAGCAAAGCTCAACATAAATGCCAAATGAGCCGGGTGGGCCCTTAACTGCTTCAGGGGTTCAGCAAGCAGGGCGGCCACACTGGCCTGTCGGGGAGGCTCTCACAGAGGCTGTGGCCTGTAAACGGAGTGGTGATGGGGGATAGGATGTTGGTCAGAGGGAGGAGAACAGGGGGATGCATGACACATGGTGGGACTCGTGGAGACAGGAGCCTGAATAGTGGTCATTAAGACCTTGGTGTTAGGAATGCCTAAGCCCAAGGTGGGTGTGGCAGTCAGAGCCAGATTTCCAACCACCAGTAAAAAATATAGTGTGTCTCCTGGCTCTGAGACTTTGGGGGCATTTTATACTTTTCTGGGGAGTTGCCATCCCTGGGAGTTTGTGGAATTCTGTGAAGCCTGTGAGAGGACAAGGGGCATTTGTGCTCCTTACAACCGGCATTTGTAATTGTCTCTGAGCTCAGGTCACCGAAGAGGAACTGAGAGCTACTGTTTTTCTCAGCCTGGGTCCTGACTTGCTGAGGCTGATTCTCCCCTATGGTGGCATCATTGCTCAGCCTCCACACATGAATCCCTCCACACTTCCCCAGAGAGACAGAGCTGGGGGCCCAGAATCCTGGTCGCCCTTCATTTAGTTGATATTTACTCAATCCCACAAAGACAATATCCCTAACTCACTTATTAACAAAACTACAAGGTATGTCAGAGCAGTGCCCAGAAGGAGACAGTCAGGCTACCCAACCTGAGCTCCTTAATTCAGAGCTGCCTGCACACCGCACACACACTTACAGAAGATCCCTCCCTTGGAATTAGAACAGTGCTCAGAGGCAGGAATTGCACCCAAAGGTCATACCCTCCCAACTTTCTCTTTTCTGTGCTGCAGGGCCTCAGGAGAAAGAGAGGGTAAAAATTCACAGGCAGATTCTTACTGTTAGGAATCCTTAAAAAGGCAGTGTCTGGAAGGCACGTGTAGATCCTAATGTCACTTAAATATTTCATATTTATGAGCCACTTCACCCTAAACTACTGCTGATGTCAATGAGAAATTGAGCCTAGCCCTTAAACCAGAGGTTGGGAAACTCCAAATCTAAGTTCCAATTAATATCTGTACAACACAAAACGCTTCTCACACCTCTGGGCTTTGTTTTCTTCATATTGTGAAGAGATGTTTTAGTTTCAGTTATCTCTAATAGCCTAGAAGTCCCATGGAGACATCCAATCATCATGGGTGACATACACAGGTGGGGCGGGGTCCACCTGCCTCTGACTCCCACACATTGGCTGGACGTTAGCCCTTTCAAAAGAGCCATCATGTTTGGAGAAATAGAACAAATCATTGCTGTCCCCATTCTGTATAGCAGTGGTTCAAACGACCCTTTCACAGGGGTCACCTAAGACCATTGGAAAACACATATATAATTACATATTGTTTTTGTGATTAATCACTATGCTTTAATTATGTTCAATTTGTAACAATGAAAATATATCCTGTATATCAGATATTTACATTACGATTCATAACAGTAGCAAAATTACAGTTATGAAGTAGCAATGAAAATAATTTTATGGTTGGGGGTCACCACAACATGAGGAACTGTATTAAAGGGTCGCGGCATTAGGAAGGTTGAGAGCCACTGCTCTACAGTAGAATATCCACATCTTTCTCTCGTAGATTACACCATCCTCAAATAAGCTCATTAATCCACATAAAATGTTGAATTTCAAGGCTTATTGTGAAGCACAAAGAAACCCCCACAGCAGCTCTCTCCCACCAACTGTAAACCCATGTTAGGAATTTCAATGGAAAGCCCCAGGCTTTACTATTCAATTCAGAACTGGGATTTTGTGGTGTAAACAAGTTGATCCCTATTCTCTGAAGTGCATCACTGTTAGAAGCAACAGAGAATGGAGGGAAAGAACTGGTTTTGGAATCAGAGACCTGGATTTGACACCTGACCTTTACAGTTATTGGATAAGTGACCTCAACCCAATCACTTGACCTTTCTGCAATTGAAGACATAGAAGTTGAGGAATTGAACTAGAAATAGAGTATCTTTGTCTAACACCAGCTAGGCGAGTATTATGACTAAATGGGTAGCTTGCTTACTGTATAAAGGTTATCAAGCCTTCCTCTTTATAGATTAAATTGAAAGAATTTAAAAGTCCTGGGAGCCCCCAGAGCTTTTCCAGGTAGGAGAAAACCAAAGTAGCTTTTTTAATGCCTTGCAAGAACTGGTAGGCATTTGGGTTTTCCCCCCACTGGTAATAGTTTTATGGCCCAGATATGTTCTAAAACCTTGATACTCAGTGTGTGGTTATGCATTAGCGATGCCTGGAAACTTGTTAGAAATGCACATTGTCAGGTGCCACCTTAAACCAACTAGAATGATCCCAGTCGACACCCAAGCATATTGAAGTTGAGAAATACTGCCCAAGGCTCTCAGTAGCTAAAAGTAATCATCTCATAAATTAAGGTAGCAGTTTTGCATTCGTTACAGAATAGTAATTATAGGCAAAATATTTAGTGTGGCTTTTGCAAATCAAAACTTTATTGACAATCAATGAAAATGAGAGATATACCACTAGAATATGACATTCCTTTTGGAAAAGAATTTTAAAAATTCTTCAGACATTTACATATGGGGGAACTATTTAATTTAGTTCTATATGACAGAATGTGAATTAAATATCTTTGGTAATATAGCTAAGTAGTTAAAAAAATTTATGTTTCATGATATAGACATGACAAATACATAGTCAATACGTATACTTTAATGATTAATTTATCAATATGTTGCAAATTAGAAAAAAAGGCTTTAGTACCAGCATTAATATTACCTATATATTCTTTAAAAAATAGTAAATATTAGTTTTTAGGACGGTTTTTGGTTTATGGAAATATTGAACAGAGCATTATTATAAATCTCTCCTCCTACATAGTTTCCCCTATTATTAACATCTTGTATTGATATGCTATATTTTTTATAATTGATAAAATGTTAATACATTATTACTCAGTATTTTGGTTTATATTTTGGTTCACTGTTTATATTATAGAGTTATTTAGTTTTTTAAAAATATATAATATCATGTATCCACCCTAGCTTCATACAGAATAGTTTCACTGACCTTAATGCTCCACCTATTCATCCCTTCTCCCACCCCATCGCCCCGGGCAACCACTGATTTTTTTTTTTACTATTTCTATAGTTTTCCTTTTCTAGAATGTCACATAGTTGGAATACTATAGTATGTATTTGGAATCATATAGTGTGTAGACTTTTCAGACTAACTTTTTCACTTAGCAGTGGCATTTAAGGCTCTTCCGTGTCTTTTTATGACCTGATAGCTTTAAAAAAAACTGCTGCATAATATTTCATTTTATGGGTGCACCACATTTTGTTTATTTATTTACCTATTTGAAGAACATTTTGTTGCTTTCATTTGGGGAATTTATGAATAAAGTTGCTACAAACATTCAGGTGCAGGATTTTGTTAGACCTATTTTCCACTCATTTGAATAAATATCTTGGAGTGTTACTGCTGAATGAATTGGTAAGAGTACATCTATTTTTATAAGAAACTTTAAACTGCCTTCCATAGTGGCTGTATCATTTTGCATACTTATCAGAGGTAAATGAGAGTTCCTGTTGTCCTGTATTCTCAATAGCATGTTTTTGTCAGTGTTTTGGATTTTAGCCATTACATATACTTTTTTTTTTGTGGTAATGAGAATAGCATAAGGTTATAACTTTATCAGACTAATAATGAGTAATAATTGTTTTATATAGAATTACCAAATTATACATGTTCTTAAAATGCCATACAATAATATGAAACATGTAGTATGTATACGTATATAGATGTGTGTGTATGTGGGTGGGTGTAATTATAAAATGTAAATTACAGAATGAATTAAACACCAAAATTGTCTAGAGTTTAGACTTTTGAAAGGCATTCCTAAGCAATCAGTTTTCTGTTGGGAGCCAAATATAATATGGTTAAGAGTAATCGTATTATATTTGTTGCCAGTAACAAATCTAATGCCTTAGGGAGGGACCATTTCTTTATTCCCAGAACTCTTTGCCCATCTTACCAAGGAAGGCATTCTGAGCTTTCTTCCCTACCTACACAGCTCGGCAGCCTTGGATTCCTTTTAAGAGCACATTTTCTTCGTTCCTATTCTTTGAGGAAGAGGAGCTGTTCCAGGTGCCCACCAAGCCCAGAAAGAAAAAGGGACTGATACAGAAGTGGCCCATTTTATCAGATTAGCTCAAGATAATATGCTCTCTAGCCCCGTTTTCCCACTGAGAAAGTTGGCCAGAAGAACATCTAACCTAAAATTTTCCTCTTTGTATATTGTAATAACTATTGTAAAACCATTTTGGTCTTTTTTTAAAGTATATTTTATTGATTTTTTACAGAGAGGAAGGGAG